GACATGTACCCAGACTGTAGACATGTACCCAGACTGTAGACATGTGCCCAGACTGTAGACATGTACCCAGACTGTAGACATGTACCCAGACTGTAGACATATACCCAGACTGTAGACATGTACCCAGACTGTAGACATGTACCCAGACTGTAGACATATACCCAGACTGTAGACATGTACCCAGACTGTAGACATGTACCCAGACTGTAGATATGTACCCAGACTGTAGACATGTACCCAGAGTGTAGACATGTACCCAGACTGTAGACATGTACCCAGACTGTAGACATGTACACAGACAGTTGACATATGCCAAAACTAGCCATTTTATTTTTATGTAGACATGTTTTATTTTCCTTTTTGAGTTATAAAACGTAGGGGGAGTTAAACGATAAAAGTTCAATTATTTTTAAATTACTGAATTATCTCCCCTACAATATCAACACTGTTATGATCACTAAATGATTATATTTCCACAGATCAGCCATTATCGACCAGAAACACGGATCCTTACAACATTTGCAAGTATTTTTTAACAGCGGTAAGACTATATGTGGTACGGGTTAGTGGATCATGCTGGAGACATATAATGGACACTTCTTTACGTATCTCAGGTCAAGTAGACACGTCATTGATTCTTAATGGTTCTCGCTAACTTAGACATCAGTAGCGTATATCTTTAGACGTCAGTAGCGTATATCTTTAGACGTCAGTAGCGTATACCCTTAGACGTCAGTAGCGTATACCTTTAGACGTCAGTAATGTATACCTTTAGAGGTCAGTAGCGTATACCTTTAGATGTCAGTAGCGTATATCTTTAGACGTCAGTAATGTATACCTTTAGAGGTCAGTAGCGTATACCTTTAGAAGGCAGTAGCGTATATCTTTAGACGTCAGTTATGTATACCTTTAGACGTCAGTAGCGTAAACCTTTAGAGGTCAGTCGTGTATACCTTTAGAGGTCAGTAGTTTATACGTTTATACGTCAGTAGTGTATACATTTATATGTCAGTAGTGTATACTTTAAGACGTAATTTGTGTATACGTTTACACGTTAGTAGTGTATACCTTTAGACGTCAGTAATGTATACCTTTCGGGAGCCGGACGTTTTCCCGAAAGACACTTGCCCGAATGCCGTTTGCCCGAAGGCCGATTTCCCGAATGGACACTTGCCCGAATGCGACAAAAGCCCGAATGGACACTTGCCCGAATGCGACAAATGCCCGAATGGACACTTGCCCGAATGCGACAAATGCCCGAATGCCACTTTCCCGAAGGCCGTTTGTCCGAAAAATGTTAACATTATATATTACCAAATAATCATTCGTGATCAATTTAAATTTAAAATGTTGATAAACAAAACATATCTACAAAAAAGAACTGAAAAAAAAATATTTTATATTACCACGCAGACATTTTATATTAATTTTTATTTGCTATATAAAAAGTGTAGAAACAAGACAAAAAATACCATTTTCGTTTATAACAAGTTTTTAAAATGAATTTTGCTTTCTTTATTTAAGTAATCGCTTCAAAACATTGTCTAAACAAGGTGCATTAATTGGAGATCAAACGTATTTGACTACCTTTAGTTTTTAATTGCCACCTAGACCGCGGCTAGTTCTGTTGTGAAATGATCACCCCACAATTTTACATAACAAGATAAATCAAACAAACCCGTCTCTGTTCAATGTTGCGAGACGCCGCGACGCACACACCGTGTCATAAGCGCTATAAAGCCACCGCAACACGTCGGCTAAACAAGGTGTTCAAACTTACATCAAAAGAATGTTAGGACATCGCCGCCAACATCACTTTACATTTATTAAAGAATAAAGATTTTTTACAGCCATTTCTCAATTTTGAAAAAAAGAACACAAAACTCTAAATTTTAAAATTATAAACAATTTTGCTTTTATGCTTAGATTTGTGTTTATTATCAAAATTTCAAACTTAAATTGATAAAGAATCTCTATTTAGTAATATTATTTATTATCTAATATTAACATTTTTCGGGCAAACGGCCTTCGGGCAAGTGGCATTCGGGCATTTGTCGCATTCGGGCAAGTGTCCATTCGGGCATTTGTCGCATTCAGGCAAGTGTCCATTCGGGCATTTGTCGCATTCGGGCAAGTGTCCATTCGGGCATTTGTCGCATTCAGGCAAGTGTCCATTCGGGCATTTGTCGTATTCGGGCAAGTGTCCATTCGGGCAATTGTCGCATTCGGGCAAGTGTCCATTCGGGCATTTGTCGCATTCGGGCAAGTGTCCATTCGCGAAATCGGCCTTCGGGCAAACGGCATTCGGGCAAGTGTCTTTCGGGAATTTGTCGTAGACCCGATGTCTGACGTCGCGCTGTTGACTGCTAAAGTCAGTAGATTATACCTTTCGAGGTCATGCTGTAGATTGATGACGTCACTGCTAGTCGCCTTATGACGTCACATATTGTCAGATAGTTTGAGCGCAGCTTTAATCTAGAAACGAAACCTCAGCGACCATTGTTCTTTAAACTAGAGCTCCGTGACTATCTATATCAAGATAGCTCTAATCGAGTGTTTGGCTTCATTGCAGGACGAGTGCGCCCGTGAAACTGCCAGAATCACCGAGGAGGCTAGAAAGTCAATAAGTGGTCCAAGAAAGTTTCCCGGCTAAAGATCGGACCCTCTGTCGACGTTATCGAGTTCCCTCAGAGAGGATGAGGCAGACGATGACGTCACATACTGACCTTTCCACGACGTCATGAGCATTGGGCGTTAATGATTTAATTTTCATTAAATATTGCTCAAATTATTTTTGACTACTATTTTTAAAGTGTCTTTAGCTGATGTTCTTGAGTGGTCTATTAGAAATGCAATGAGTCGAGAGTTTACTGATCAGATTTTTAAGGTTGCTACTGGGTGGCACGGTGCCCTATAGAGCAATCTGCCCTTCTAACTACGACGCCCTGTCAATAATTAAGTAATTAAATTGGGCCTACTTATCAGTTTTGAGTCAAACGTTGATCAAGATGACAGGGAACCGAGATCAAGATATTGGATTATATGACTAAGCAGCTCCGATATACCCACTGTGAGCTGTGTAAGACATTTAAAATATTGGTCTATTACAGGCAGTAAAAAGCTACACAATCCGACAAATTAAATAGCAATGTAAGTACCTTACTAATAATCCACAATGTTTCTTCATAATTTTATCAGAATACCTGATGACGATCACATTTCAACTATTTGTAGCGTTTCGCGGTTCGCACCGAAAAACCTATGGCCTTAATCGAACGGGCAAAGACATGAATTGATCATTTCCATTACATGTTGCTTATAGATCCAGACAGAAATTACACTTGAGTCAACTCTTTATTACATTATGCTACAATAGAACACCAAGAGCGATCACCTAGCAATATTCTAGCAGCTTAAAATACATGAGCTAGTTTAGGTGGTTCTGCAATTTAAAAAAAAATGATAATCATCTAATTACCTGCGTTAATTGGTCTTGTACATAAACATAATATATTCTACAATAAAAGACACGTGATTTGATAGGATGTGGGTGGGGTATGTAATGTGTGGGTGAAGTAGGAGATTGGGTGAGATAGGCGATGTGTGGGTGAGGTAGATTATGTGTAGGTGAGGTAGGTGATGTGTGGGTGAGGTAGATTATGTGTGGGTGATCTAGGAGATGTGTGGGTGATGTAGACGATGTGTGGGTGAGGTAGAAAATGTGTGTGTGAGGTAGGAGATGTAAGGATGTGTGTGTTATTTATGCATTGTTTGGGTGAAGTAGCTGCTGTGGGGGTTATTTAGGCGATGTTCTAGTGAGAGGTGATGTGTGGGTGAGCTTGTTGGTGTTTGGGTGAGGTAGTGGATGTGTGGGTGAGGTAATCGATGTGTGGGTGAGGTAAGCGATGTTTGGGTGAGGTAAGTGATGTGTGGGTGAGGTAAGCGATGTTTGGGTGAGGTAGATTATGTGTGGTTGAGGTAGGTTATGTGAGGGTGATGTAGGAGATGTGTGGGTGAGGTACATTATGTGTGGTTGAGGTAGATTATGTGTGGTTGAGGTAGATTATATGAGGGTGATGTAGGCGATGTGTGGGTGAGGTAGGCGATGTGTGGGTGAGGTAGGAGATGTGTGGGTGAGGTAGGAGATGTGTGGGTGAGGTAGGAGATGTGTGGGTGAGGTAGGAGATGTGTGGGTGAGGTAGGAGATGTGTGGGTGAGGTAGGAGATGTGTGGGTGAGGTAGGAGATGTGTGGGTGAGGTAGGAGATGTGTGGGTGATGTCCGCGATGCGTGGGTGTGGTAGAAAATGTGTGGGTGAGGTAGGAGATGTGTGTGTGAGGTAGGAGATGTGTGGGTTGGGTAGGTGATGTGTGGGTGAGTTTGATGATGTGTGGGTGAGGTAGGAGATGGTGGTGTAAGTAATGAGTGGGTGAGGTAGACGAAATGTGGGTGAGGTATGTGATGCTCGGGTGAGAGAGGTGATAAATGAGTGACGTATAATAAATTATAGACTACTATTTAAATAACTATAAAGAAAAGCGTGGGTATCTTCCTAAACATTAGTAAAGGTATCCAATAGATACTAAAGTGATTTAAATATTAACAGACCTTAATTGGAACAAAAAGTGTGTGCAAGGTTGAATAAAATAGGCTACAATTTATTGTCTCTCTTTGTTTATTTCAAAATGCAAAAGCAAAGAATAGTGTTGTTAGCTTATCCTAATATATAAAAGCCCACGTTTGCACTTCTCTCTCTCTCTCTCTCTCTCTCTCTCTCTCTCTCTCTCTCTCTCTCTCTCTCTCTCTCTCTCTCTCTCTCTCTCTCTGTCTGTCCGCAACATATTTTCGCCGGATATCACGTCAGAAGCGATATATGGAGAACTTTATACGGACTTTTGTTGAAAATAATATGGTAGATGTTTTAAATGTATAACCACAATTTTATTTAAAGAAGAGAAATAAAAAATAAAAGCGTATTCGAATGTAGAAAAACAATGTTAATCATGAAACCGGAAAAGGATGATGATCGGATCGTTTCCCGACCCACCGGAAAACGCAGCATCGGCAACGATCGACGATGTTGGCATAGTTACAAGAGGGACAAATGCAGGGATCACGAGTTACTGGACCTGCAGACAAAATGGTGAAGAGCGTAGAAATAAGTAAATTAAGAAAGTTTGTAAAGCAAGTTACTAAGTAGTTTCATTGGTCGAGAAAGTGCGTGTGGAATATTCTCGAACCCAACTTTAGGCAGTGAATGCAATTTTAAAATAAAATAAAATTCAAAACTTCGTTCACTTGGATTAGCATTTAGATTTGCATTTTGCCTGATTTGGTTACCAAATGCGTTACCACATCGGATGACATCAAACCTTCTCACGCCATCAGTTCTGATTGCGTGGTCATTCGAAGAAGGCCATTTAATGACCAAGGGTTGAAGTATATTTACAGAAACACTCCTGAATTTTCTATTCATTAACACCATAGAGCTATAGGTCTTCACTTTAATAAATCGGTCTGTGTTTATAATGTAATTACATTTTTTTTAATAAGAGAAGATTTGGCGACACAACACATATATAAAACTTTCTGAAATGTAGTTAACATTTTTTTTCCTGTTTTAAAGCTAGCGAATTATCTATGGGGCCCTCCACAAATCGGTTTTAATACTACGTCCCATTTTTAAATACGGGCTTTACTTGATAAGATTACACCACGGCAATAAATTAATTAATAATACGTCAATAAATATAAATAAATCAGATAAAAAACAACAACCTTATTAAAAGAAATGTGTTTTGTGATATAAACAGCGCCATCAAGATATAAACCAAGACATCATCTACATATTTTTTAAAATATTTCACCCGTATATATTGTATTTAATCTCCAAACAGTATTACAATGTTAATAAGATAAAACACTCGTATAAAATGTTTTGCAAAAATGTAATATCAAGAGTACCTAATGATATTACGTTTTAATACATGGTATGTCTTTGACTTACTGCAATTTTTTTCATCTGCTCCGTCTTGACAATCAGGAACACCATCACATATGCGCCTATTTAAAACACAATGCTGGTCGCAATGGAAGCTGTCTGTACAGTTCGCTGATGAGGATTTCAATTTCAACTAAAATTGTTGCCAACCATGGACTAAATCTATTTTTAACTTAACATTAGAAAAGTAAAAAAAAAAAGGAATAATTTAAGGGTATAGGCTCCTCAAAAAAATAAAATAAAATATTTATATATGTATATATTTGTGTATCGTATATAACATAAAATATTTGCATATATCAGTTATTCTTAAATTTAGTATACATTTTTATGGTATTTTAACATACCAAATTTTGGAAATTGAAAAACTTTTTGAGGTTCTTCTGCTATAAAAACTAGCCATCTGACTCTATTAGAGTTAGTAAATGAATGATTAATGATTATATGACCAATATATATGTTAGTTTTAAATCTTGAGACCTTCACAAAAAGTTACTTTTCCAAGATGGCTGCCGTTGCCATTGCAACCATACTTTAAGAAGAGTTCCTTTAATTTAGTAACCGTATTTTAGATAGACTCAAATAAATAAATTAAATAAGGGTTAATAATTAGAAATCGTCTTTTTTCCGGTGTCTAAACCCTTACTTACTTTAAGGTAATATCTGTTAGTCAATATGTATATTTTTTAATCAACAAGTGATGCAAATCAATTGTAATTAAATCATAAATATAAAAAAAACATTTTAAGCCAAATAATATCAAACTATAATTTTATTGGTAAATGCTACAATATTTAATAAATAAAGCGTATAGCGGTTTATCTAATAAAAAAGCTCAAATGGTTTCTGTGGCTCTGTATGTAACGGACAGCGGATAGACGCAGTTGAAGAATATAGTAAAAACTCGACTTGACAGCCATAGTTTAATAGTCTTAAAGCATAACATATTTAAATTAAGGATTACAAAAATAATGTCGATGGTTTTGTAAAACAAGTTTTATTTAATGTCAAGTAAAGTAAACAAATTCGAAGAAAATGTATCATCCTTCACAAAAATTTTAAAAGTGTAAATTTTTTTCCTTTATTTTTTATATTTTCATCTTTTTCTTTTGATTCATTACACTTTTCTTTTACCTTTCTTTAAAAAAAAAATTACATCGCGGGACAAAAATACTTTTTAATAGTTTGTTTTGGTGTTAGAAACAAAATTCTGCTTGCGTTTGAGTTTGTGTTTGCATTTGTGTTTGTGTTGTGTTTGCGTTTATGTTTGCTTTTGTGTTTGTGTTTGCTTTTGTAATTGCGTTAGTTTGTGTTTACATTTGTGTTTTTGTTTCCTTTATTGTTTGCTTTCGTTTTTGTGTTTGCGTTTGTGTTTTGTTTGTGTTTGTGTTATGTTTACGTTTGATATTTTGTGTTTTGGATTTGGTTGGTTGTGGTTATTGTTAAGTTTAAAATTACAGTTGGGTTTCGGGTTATGTCTTCATTTGTCAAACGCCCATACCGGGTATATGCTGCTAAATAAACACGGCCCTTTACTGATAGGTTTTTCACAGAGGCCAGTGCAGGGCCTGGTCGGAACGGCTAGTTTATTTATAAAAATTGTTAAAATTAAAATTGACAAGCTTATTTTTTTTTTCTAAAACTAGTTTTGAAGTTAATTATTGTAGATTTATATACTAGTAATAAGCTCTCAGTTTTATTTGTCTTTTAAATTAGACTATAACAGGAAACGCGCATTTAGAAATATCCATATCTAAATATTTCATTATTTAGAATATCATATCACTATTCTGAATATTGAATAATAATTTTTTTTAAATTAGTATTAATACATGTGTAATAGCTTTATAGATAAACCATATACAAATGATATCAAGAATATATTAAATTATCGTTAGCGAAAGTTTTGTAATGAGATCTAAATAATTAACAGCCAGGTTAATATTACGAATGTATTATTCCATGTTGAAACACGTCATGTGTATAACTCTGACAAAATTATACAGGAACATTGTTTTGTCATACTTACTACAATTTATTTCATCAGATGAGTCAGAGCAATCTTTAACACCGTTACACCTTAGTTTCTTGTCGATACACTCTGCGCTATTGCACTTGAACTCTTTGGAAGGCTTGCAATGTTCTGGTAATGAGTTTATTGGAATCAAACGCATCTTAGATAACTAAGTCTATATCTCGATCTGTTCCTATACATTTGCATGTGCATTTGCATATACCTGTTCTCAAAATTGCATATGAAACTGCAACTCTACATTTATTTATACATATACGTCCATCACACACACACACACACACCACACACACACACACCACACACACACACCCACATCACACACACACACGCACGCACGCACGCACACACGCACATACACACACACACTAATGACGGATGAGCCGTCACTGCGTTGCATTATGGCATTTTTGCTGTGATCAATTGACATCCCTATAAAAAAATATTACAACTTCTAACATAGCACCAACACACCTGTCTAACGCTGAGGAAGTATTGTAATCGTGCACAAAAATCACATGAAATGTCGACAGTTTTCATCGTTGTACACCTCAGTACTTCATCATATACGGAGTATAGGGGACTTATTTTAATCGGGCAAAAATAATAAATGCAGATTTATCAAAATTTCAGCTTTCTATGCGTAATCGAGTCGGAAAAACTGGGCTTTGTAATTCTGTACATATGTTTGTGTGTGTGTATATGTGTGTATGTGTGAGTACAATTACAGCTAGGTTAATGAAATTTCATATATAAGTATTATATCAAATTTGTAGTTCCTTAACAACTTTTCAGCGATTTCCGGTAACCAAAAGTGGAACTTAGTCTACTTTTGGTTTTACATAAGCCTTTAACTTGACTACTCTTCCAGATAGATAAATAAAATTGTACATGTAAGTAAAAGATCTAATTCAAAGTTATAGTAATATCCGTTGACCGGAAGTAGTAATTTACGCTATTTCCGATTTCTTAAAAAGAAAACAACCAAAAAAAAACTCGCTTATGAATGTATCAAGTATTAATAATATTCCGCACTATTGTACATATATTATTTGCCATTCACTTGGTGCGCAATTCTTTTTCTACGAGATTCTATTCTATTTTAAAAAGTTTAGGTAACTAAAAATGGTTTAAAAATTAAGTCCATATCCCGAGTTACCACCCACCGTTGTTTTAAATAAGAATATTCAAGAAAGTTTAGGGGAGATCACTCCCGGTATATTTAGTTTGCTGCGAACAGAAAACGTAAGTCTTTTCATACTTACTACATTTATCATTAAACTCATCAGAAAAGTCGCCACAGTCATCTATGTGGTTACAAACTTTCGTTTGATTGATGCAAAAACCGCTGGTACACTTGAAGGAAAGCGGTTCGACGCAAGATACTAGTGGCAAAAGTCAATTACATTTTATTGTAGTAACACATCTATGTGGGGGTAAATAAGCCTCAAGTAATTAAATATTTATAAGTTACTAATGGGACGGCGTGGCCTAGTGGTAGAGAGCCAGGCTGATAACCTGAAAGTTTCGAGTTCAAATCCAGGCTCTAGTCAGTAGACGTCCCTAAGTCCACCCAGCTATGGCGGCTGGGCATGATGGGCATGATGCTGACTACACTATCCGTTCATAATCTGAGGATTCTGAAACAGAAACAACTCTACTTCATTTTACCAACGTCTTGTACACAAAATGGAAAAGATGATTATTATACAATAAAACTTATAGCTTATCACTAATTGTGTCTTTTTAATTTTTATTTTCTATTACAAAGTAAAAGTACACAACATAATTCAATAACAATTCTGTAGAATACTAAAAGCCTCAACTTAAAAGCTAAATATAGACAGAGTTTCTTCCAGGCATCTCTTCGGGGGGAAAGTCTTTCGAAGAAAGTCTACCGCCCCGTACGAAATAGAATTTATATAGAAAAAATATATATTTTAACAGTGTCCGACCCCCCCCCCCCTAAAATTTCAAGTGCCACCCCGGAGAAAAAAGTCTGGAAGAAACACTGAACATAAATACATTATTTTTCCGGTTGTCAGATGTTTGGTTTAAATAAAATTTTGCATCTAAAAATGTGTCACTTGCTTGAACATTATGTAATTATTTATTGGATTGTTATCTTTCTTACTTTTGTCCATCGCCGAGGTCAATTTTATTATTGGAAATAAAACGACTCGGTAGCTCACAAAATACCGAGGAAATTAATGTATAGTTTCTAATGGAAACCAGTTGCGTTTGTGTATGTATAACTTAGCGTTTTAAGAATGAGAATATTTTTGCAGAATCATTGTATACAAAGGCCGTTTGTGTAAGACTTGACTGGAAGAAACTCTGGGTATTTCTTCCTTATTGGTATGCCTCTTTTGATCTTTGTTTTTCTTGTAATCAGCGTCAGTCTATTTCTTATTTGCTTTCAATTTAAACGTTCGAAAACATTCATACAAACTTTAATACGATCTAGATGGCAAGCACACAATTTCCTACATACATTTAGACTAATGGAGGGGATCTTGCAGTGATTTGACTAATTAATTATCTTTCACTAAATGATGGCACAACTTAAAACGTATTAGTTTAAAAAAAACTACTCCCTATTTACTGAAAGTTATAATTTTCTAGATACTGAATGTTTTATAATTATATGAAATATTATCTTAATAAGTCGCTGTACACATTTCTTATAAATAAATGAAATCTCGAACTTACCGCAGTTTTCTTCATCCGATAAATCGCCACAATCATTATGTGTGTTACATCTTAACTTGTTGGCTATACAAACATTGTTTAAACAATGGAAGCTCTCAGTACCTTTACAAGATTCTGGTAGGAGAAGTCAACAATTAGGGCATGCATACAAATTCAGGCATTTTCTGACAGCGTATTTTCAATACATTAAACACAAAAATAAGGAACCAAAAACTAAAATCTATCTATAATCATTTTTATAACATTTGTATTAGCGTACTTGCTTCACTGATTTATACCTATATATTTTTAGCTTATTAGAAATCGATATGTACGAGCCGTATCGGCTAGGATTCGTTCAGGCAATTAATACCCATGTTTAAATTTAATTTTTAACGTAAACATATATATATATATATATATATATATATATATATATATATATATATATATATATATATATATATATATATATATATATATATATATAATGTATTTATATACAGGCTGATATATATATATACATATATACAAATATACAAATATATATATATATATATATATATATATATATATATATATATATATATATATAATGTATTTATATACAGGCTGAAATATATATATACATATATACAAATATACAAATATATATATATATATATATATATATATATATATATATATATATATATATATATATATATATATATATACATATATGAATGGCTGATTGTATTGATCAGTATCTACACATACTTGAAAACACGAGAATGATTCTATTGTCAAACTTACTACAGTTGGTTTCATCTGATCTGTCACCACAGTCATCAACGCTATCGCATTTATTATCTATGTGTGTGCATTTATGTCCAGGACATTCAAAACCATTAGGTCTTTTACAAGTAGCTAGATACACATTTAATAAAACAAATGTTATTGACTGAAAATTTCGATTAACTTATACTGAATTCAATAAATACAAGCTATTCGTAAGTAAGTAAAGCACGTTTTCCAAACGTTGATGCACGTCAAAATTTTGTGAAAAAAGCATACGTACAACAATTTACTTCATCTGATCCGTCTTTACAATTTTTGATTCCGTTACACTTTAAGAGTTGGATGATGCATTCATCGTTGGTACACTTAAATACTTTGGAACCTTTACAGCTGGCTTAAGTGCAAATTAAAGAAGTTTTAAAACATCTATTTATTATAACAAACATAACAGAGTCTAAAAATTATCTCTTCAAAATAATATTTTATATTAAAAATCATTTTTATGATTTGTTACAATTAATCTTTTCCCAAATATAATCAAGTTTACATTAACGGATTAGATTTTTACAAAAGTTATCAACAAAGAATAGTTGACAATAGTTTATTCCGTTTAGATATTATAATAATTACACATACACGTTGAAAGCTATTTAAGAAAATACTTTTTTGACTTAAAAATAAAAATAAAAATTGAACGATGTATTATTACATCTATTCAAATAATTGTCAATTAATTCTCTAAAGTCAATTTGGACAGAGAATTTTTTAAAGAATATTTCATTTACGCCTTGTAAGATGAGATTAGACGCTGTGAAGGCAAAAACTGTTTAAATAATACATCCCACTATGTTCAGTCGTTTTAATAACTATATTAATTATATTTCTTTAAAATATTGAAAAGTTTATTTTAGCAGACCATATACAACAAATACTATGATTATTTCATCTCTTTACACTTACTGATTTTAAAAATACGAGCTGACCCGCGGCGTATCATACGCCGCTACTTAGTTTTTTTATTTTCTAATTTTCAGTACTTCATAGTTAGTGAATTCGACACTACCCTAACTTCCACTCCCCCCCCCCTCCCCGCCACCGTGAAAACAGCCGTCCGAGACGACAGTTTACGGACGACAATGAAAAGATCAAGCAGAACTTCTTTTATCTCCTTAGTTTCAAATCATTTAAAAGCTAAATTATCTGCCCCTAATAATTCGACGATTGTAAACATTCGGGGTGAACCTTAGCTCACCAGAATGGTGGGGGTGGGGGTTGGTAGCTATATGTATATGGAGCGGGGCAGTAACGGCGTGCGTTTACGTGGTGTCTCGCATGGTCGCCATGAAGAGAATTATATATATATTGGTTGCCAGTCATATTTTTCAAAAATAAAATATCAAATACTATAAGTTAATCTACATCACCCCTTTAGCAAGCCCCAGGTTAGGTGTTTGGTCAAACTTACTACAGTTTTCTTCGTCTGATCTGTCACCACAGTGATCCGCGCCATCACAACGGTATACTGAGTGTTTGCAAAGCCCGTTCCTGCACTTGAATCTATCAGGATGATCACAGGTGTCTGGGGTGGGTGTGTATGTTGGGGGGGGGGGGGGGGGGGTTAGACCGATATTTTTAAACATTGTGTTTTTTTTAAAACCTATTTTATATTTCGAAACGTCGAGATGAAAAATAACTTTAAAATAACTTAATAATTAAAACTATTAATAATGACAAATACTAGCACTATTTATAATACCTTTACATTAATCAAAGCACAGATTTAACAGAATCAAAGTACATTTTGTATAAAGTTCATGTAGAGAAAAGTGTTATTTTTCCCAAGATTGCAAAGCTACATTTTTTAATGTAATTTCGCCATTCATTAATTTTTTTTGTCATGGGTATTGCATATAAGAACAAATTAATAATCCATACCATTTTAAATACTTTAAAACATCAGTTTTTTTCCGGAGTTCCTTTAATGTCTATATCGTTGAATTTTTAAACACAACACAGAGAGCACGCAAAACGAGTGACTTTTGATATTTACCACAGTGTTTTTCATCTGACCCGCCGTCTTTACAAGTATCGACACCGTCACAAACATTTCTTGTTCTGACGCATTTCTTGTTGGCGCACAAGAAACAGTGGGGGCTCTTGCAGCTGTCTGGAGGCAAATTGTAAACATGTCCTCATATTCTTGTTTTAATGAACTCGCTTCAACACATACAATGTGTGGTATAAGCATGCTAAGTAATAGTATGACTATAAAAATAAAGCGGGAGTGATCTCCCCTAAACTTTCTCGAATATTCTTATATAACACTACATGGGATGTCAACTTTGGATATAGATATGATTGATCTTTAATCAATTTTTAAATTCTAATACTTTTAAAAATAGAATAGAATCTCGCAGAAAAAAGAATTGCGCACCAAGTGAACAGCAAAAAGTATGTGTAGTAGTCTATAATTTATTTTCTACTTTTTAGTGCATTATTACATAAAAGCTTGTTATTAAAAACTTATTTTTGAATTTGTTTTCAGTACTTTACATGTTTTATTTACAATAGAGTTACATGACTAAAAACCATTGCGCGCCTACTGAACGTGATGGCGCAGCTATTAAACGTGATGACGCGTGTGGTGTGGTTGGATAGACATGCCTACTAATTCGGTCCAAATTTTAATTAATTCATAAAAAATTAATTAGGCATCCAATTAAGTCAAATATAATTTCAGATTGCATTGTCTTCATATCTTGACCCACGTGCCAAATGTGAATCGTATCGGTCAAGAAGAAGTGTCCGAATTTTCACTCCGACGTTTCGATCTAGACAGAAAGACTGATGACAGAGGAGGCGAGTTAATTCATGTCTTTACCCGTTTTATTAGGGCCATTGGTTTATCGGTGCGAACCACGAAACGCAACAAATAGTTGAAATGTGATAGTTATCAGGTATTCTGATTCAATTATGAAGAAACATTGTGGCTTATTAGTAAGGTAATGACATTGCTATTTAATTTGTCGGATTGTGTAGCTTTTTACTGCCTGTAATAGACCAATATTTTAAATGTCTTACACAGCTCACAGTGGGTATATCGGAGCTGCTTAGTCATATAATCCAATATCTTGATCTCGGTTCCCTGTCATCTTGATCAAAGTTTGACTCAAAACTGATCAGTAGGCCCAATTTAATTACTTAATTATTGACAGGGCGTCATAGTTGGAAGGGCATTTTGCTCTATAGGGCACCGTGCCACGCAGTAGCAACCTTAAAAATCTGAACAGTAAACTCTCGACTCATTGCATTTCTAATAGACCACTCAAGAACATCAGCCAAAGACACTTTAAAAATAGTAGTCAAAAATAATTTGAGCAATATTTAATGAAAAATAAATCATTAACGCCCAATGCTCATGACGTCATGGAAAGGTCAGTATGTGACGTCATCGTCTGCCTCATCCTCTCTGAGGGAACTCGATAACGTCGACAGAGGGTTCTATCTTTTTCCGACCGTGTTCCATGCACCCTGTATTGTCTCCGCCGAACCCTCCTGGAGTAACTTCTTGTAGAGTTTTGAATAAAGACGGAGGCAATCGTCCTGCAATGAAGCCAAACAATCGATTACAGCTATCTTTATATCGACCGTGACGGAGCTCTAGTTTAGAGAACAATGGTCGCTCAGTTTTCGTCTCTAGATTAAAGCTGCGCTCAAACTATCTGACAATATGTGACGTCATAAGGCGACTAGCAGTGACGTCATCAATCTACAGCATGACCTCGAAAGGTGTAATCTACTGACTTTAGCAGTCAACAGCGCGACGTCAGACATCTAAAGTTATACATTACTGACGTCTAAAGGTATACACTACTAACGTATAAACGTATAGACAACTTTCGTCTTAAAGTATACACTACTGACGTTAAACGTATACAGTACTGATGTATAAAGGTATACACTACTGACGTCTAACGGTATACACTACAGACCTCTAAAGGTACACGCGACTGACATTTAAAAGTATACGCTACTGACGTCTTAAGGTATACATTACTCACTGACGTCTAAAGATATACACTACTGACGTCTAAGTAAGCGAGAACCATTAAAAATCAGTGACTTGTGTACTTGACCTGAGATACGTAAAAAGTGCCCATTCTGTCTCCTTTATGATCAACAAACCCGTACCACAGATAGGCTTACCGATGTTTTACCACTGCAAATGTTGTAAGGATCCGTGTTTCTGGTCGATAATGGCTTATCTGTGGATATATAATCATATAGTGATCATTACTGTGTTCTGTAATTTCTTATGTATTAAATTTTGTTTAAAATAGTAAACTAGATTTACCTTGGATGTTTTGGTCATTGTACAATTGTTTTTTTTCAGGTTGGTTTTTCTCATCGATCCGGCATTCACCCACAGCCAATAAGAAGATCACGACCAGCATACAAACTTTCAAGGTCTCCATGTAGTTTTCGTGTTTAGATCTCACTAGTAAAGTAGTAAATAGGATTGATAGAGTTATTGTGTATTTTATCAATTAACCTGGGTTTGAAAAGGCGGTGGATACGCAAGGCGTGTGTGTGTGTAGGGGGGGGGGGGTAAGAAAAAACGGGGAGGCGATTGACAAGAAATAGGAGTTTGGGTAAAAAATTCGAGGGCGTAGAGGGAAAAGAGAGGCATTCAGTGAAAAAAGGGGAGGGGATGGCGATATACGCATCATGAAAGAAGCGCCTATCACACCGAGAGAAAAAAATTTCGTCCTGCATGTTTGTGTTTAAGGTACAACTTTGTCTCCAAGAAGTTCGGTATGTTAGTCTCAGAGCTTCGGCGGAGGTCAAGACACACACCCGACACGTGAAGACGCATATGAAACTGGTAGGGTTTGATTCCTCCAAAAAAGGTTAAGAACCACTGCTTTAGAATGCAAGCTTATTTAGCCTACTTTTGGTTGTGTCTTTTGATCAATTTCGATAATAGCGTATTATAGTTTTAAATCATCAGTTAGGGTGAAAAAAGTGACAAAGCATCAGCTGGTGTCGTTTTGTATCTTTTTTGTTACATCGTTTAGTAGGTCTAGTGGACTGAACTATGTAAAAATTGAAGTATTTGGACTTGTTATAAAAAACAAGCAATAAAAAATTATCTTTTCTACTTATGTTTTTAGCTCTTAAAATTCCGACAAGAGTATCGTCTTCCGCCCACTCGCTCCGACCGTATGCCATTTTACTGATCAGATAGCTATTCAAGAATCCGTTATATTTATTTATCTTTAATACAGTGATCCAGGCAAGATGTAATGGAATCAATCAAAAGTATCTGATCTCTCACGTTGAATTTGAGAGAATCGCAAGAATCTTACAAAGAACTAGTCTTAACAAAACTGGCTTGTGAAATTGTACATTACGCGTTAATACACTTGGTTTCTTTACTAAGTGTTAAAAGAGTTATCTACTCACAAATCCAGTACAAAAACTTGCGATTTTTGTTCGCGAAAAAGCGCCCCCCCCCCCCACCCACCCACACACACACTCTTCCAAACCATCTTGGATAAAATTTGTAGAGCGGGTTTTAACGAAACTAACTTTTTACTTTCTCGTATATAAGAAGTATAGAGAAAGTCTTGTAATCGTGCAAAAAAAAAACGGTCAGAAAATTGGCCACGATGACTAATGTCGGCACTGCAGCGATGCCATAGAGTCAATGGAGCATGTCATTGTTGAATGCCCAGCCTTAGCCCAGCATAGACAGGAGCATATAAGTGGGATTTCCGACGTGGACAAGTACTTCTATAAAAATCTGGGTTTAAATTAGGGAGGTAGGCGCCCTCGTAAGAGAAGCTGTTGTCCTTTCCTTCTACCACGAGGCGGACCACGGTTAGGTTAAAGAAAGAGGCTATAGAATAACCGAGTCCTAATAGAACCAGAAGCCCGGAGAACTACCCTGACCAAGTAGGCTCGTGGGTGGTTTGGCCTGACGTTCGGTGGCGAAGCCATGGGGGGGGGGAGGATCTAGCCAGGCGTACGTCCAAGTACGTGTGTGATTGCCTCAGTTTCGTACAGATCTCCAAGGTTAGTACAGGTTAGGTTTATACTAGTTTTTAGCCCCTGTATCAGAGTTTTACTAGCATGTAGAACGAAACGGAACCGCACGACTAAGTTGTATGGAGTCACGGATTGGAAAGCAAATCATTGCATTATGAGAGAAGTCTAGATTTTTTACGTCAAACCTATTGGTGATACTGGGTCTCGTGGCACAGGGTGAGGTAACCCAGTGGTGATACCGGGACTCGTGGCACAGGGTGAGGTAACCCAGTGGTGATACTGGGTCTCGTGGCACAGGGTGAGGTAACCCAGTGGTGATACTGGGTCTCGTGGCACAGGGTGAGGTAACCCAGTGGTGATACTGGGTCTACTGGCACAGGGTGAGGTAACCCATTGGTGATACGGGTCTCGTGGCACAGGGTGAGGTAACCCAGTGGTGATACTGGGTCTCGTGGCACAGGGTGAGGTAACCTGATTTGTCACGAGTTCAAGATGTCAAGTATCTTGTAACGAAATATGAAATAGAAAACACGTAATAAATACAATAAGTGTATGTATCTGTAATTGTTTATACTCACGTGTCCGCAACTGTGACTTTAGATTTAATTGGTGAGGGAGTGGTTATAAGGTGTTAAATCTTGCCTGTCGTCTCGCTATCTGTTGAACTCAAACACAGCAAAACATTTCCCACTTACAACTACCGATATTTTATAGCCGATACATACAAAGATCGATACTTTTTTACAATGTTTTACTGTTTGACAAGGCGTGTCAGAATGTGTCCGTCAATGGGGGCATCTGTTCTCAGCGAGCAATCACACACCCATACAAACACCAATTCATCACAACTTTACGGACAATTAAAAAAATTCTTCTTAGAATAATGTATGTTTAAGAGAAAATAAGCTAAATGATTATAGTTGAAGTTTGTGTCTAAAAGAGTGAATCTTCTATATTAAAACCAAATAATTGAAAATCATATTTCGTTTCAAAAATGTATAATTTGGTTACTCTTGTTATTATTAGCCATTTTAGCAATGCACTACTTATTACGGAACAAACCATATAAGAACAAACAGGATTATGCTTTGCAGTAAATAAACAAACAAGATTTTAAAGATTGTTTTGTCTTATTTCATTTTCAATTTTAGCGTATTTATAACTTTTGTAATAAATTTTTAGTGAAATACAATTGTGATAAGAAAAAAAGATTCAATTAAACACATACTTTACCACTCACCACAAGATCAAATAATTATATTGTACACTTTAAAAAGTTGTAATTAGCATTCCAACCTCTGCCTCCAACTTCGAATTAATATCAGAATAGTTTTAAGACAAGATAAAAATTCGAAAAATGGTTTTAATAACGAGCTTTTTGTAATTATGCACTAAAAAGTAGAAAATAAATAAATCTCGTAAAATATATAATAATACACTACCATTTATATAACTATAAGGAAAAGAATGGGACACTTTATTATTATTTAGATACTTTTACTAATATTTAGGAAGCGACCCACGCTTTTCTTTACGTTTATATAAATATTAGTGTATTATTTAGAATAATAGTTTCGCTGTCTGTCTATGTATCTATTTATCTATCTATCTATGTATCTATCTGTCTGACAAGAACGCTCTAGAGAAAACACAAGCAAATTAAAAACTTTCACAGTAAAGCGGCTGGTGAAATATGACGTCATATAGTAGAAAATAATATCAAGCCGGAGAGTGCACACAGTAATATGACGTCATTGATTTTCGAGTAAACATTGAATAAAAAGGCAATTTTGTCTAATCTAAGTGGTTTGCGTGAAGAGTTTCATTCATACAATTCTTCGCGTAGGGGCGAAGCCCCACCCCCGCGTAAGAACGTCTGAGCCCCCCCCCTCCCCAACTCAAAAGAAATTTCTTCATCGATACTCTACTCTACAATAAAATTACCGTCTAATTAATGTGTCTAATCTAAAAAGTTGTTTCTTTCATGCAATTCTTCGGGTAGTGGCTAAGCTCGACACCAGTGTTTCTTTCAGACTTTTTCCTTCCCGGAGGGAGGAACTTTTTCTAATCTAAAAAAGTGTTTAGCGTGCACAGTTGTTTTTTTGGCATCTCTTCTGGTAGGGGCGAAGCCCCGCCCGGGTTCTTCCTTTAGTTTGTATGATCTACAAATGCGACCAGTGTTTCTTTCAGAATTTTTCCTCCTCGGAGAGGGGTGGGGGTACTTGAAATTTTCGGGGGCGGGGGTAGAATTTTCTGGGAGGGTGCGGACACTTGAAAAAGTATATAATTATATTTCGTTGAATGGGACGGTAGACATATTTTGGAGTGTGTGTGGGGGGGGGGGAGGGGGGGGCGAAGCCCCCTCCTCCCAAGTAGAGTTGCCTGAAAGAAACTCTAAATGCGACTTTTGTCATGAATGAGATTAGGTGCATGGTTTAGGGATATGCCTATGACTATATTTTGTATAAATTAAAGTACCGAGAAAATAGACAGCACTATCAACCTAGCGCCCGTTGTACCCTTCCTCAACGGGCCATTTTTCTCGTAGTATAGTATATTTTAAGAAGTTTATTTATTTACTAATTTTCAGTACTTTATTTTTTTTTAATTTTCAATAGAGTTGTATGACTAAAAACCATTGCGCACCTAATGAACGTGATCACATGTGTATAATAGTGCGGAATAGTTTGATGATACAGCCTACTAATTTGGACAAAATTTTGATAAATTCATAAAAACTTAATTAAGTCAATTTTAATGTCAGATTGCATTGTCTTGACCCATGTGCCAACTTTGAACCGTATCCGTCAGTTAGAAGTGTCCGAATTTTTGCTCGGGCGTTTCAATCTAGACAAACTGAAGACAGACAGACAGAGACAGTGTGTTAAATAAAAGCTTTCAATAAAAGATTGTAAAATAATTTAATACAAAACGTTTTGATAGCATGCTTTTATGTAATACTGCACTAAAAAGGAGAAAATAAATTATACACTACTATTTTAATAACTATAAAGAAAAGGGTGTGTCTCTTCCAAAATATTAGTAAAGGTATCCGACGGATACTAACGTGACTTAATTCATAAAAAAAATAATTTGGCTACCAATTCAGTCAAAATGAATGTCATGTTGCATTGACTTCATGTCTTGACCCACGTGCCAACGTTGAGCCGCATCTGTCAGGTAGAAGTGTCCGAATTTTTTGCTCGGGCGTTTCGATTTAGACGGAGGACAGAGACAATGAGTTACATAAAAGCTTATAAAACAAACCGGGAGAGATCTCCCCTAAACTTTCTCGAATATTCTTATATAACACTACGGGGGACGGCAACTCGGGATATAGACATACTTTTTAATCCATTTTTAATCACTGAAATTTTTTAAAATAGAATAAAATCTCGTAGACAAAAGAATTGCACACCAAGTGAACGCCAAATAAAAAAGTGCATACTAGTGCGCAATATTATTAGTACTTTAAAAATTTACATTAGTTTTTTGAGAAATCGAAAATAGCGTAAATTACTTCTTCCAGAAAATGGAAATTACTCAAAATTTAACAGATGGTAGAGAAATAAATCTTTTACTCACATGTGAAATTTCATTTATCTATCTGAAATAGTACTCAAGTTATAGGCTTTTGAAAAATTCAAAGTAGAAAAAGTACCTCTTTTGGTTATCGGAAATCGCTCAAACGTTGATACGGATCTACGATTTTGATAAAATACTTATATATGAAATTTCAGCAACCTAGCTGTAACGGTACTCAAGTTATCGTGTTTACACACAGACACACACACAGACAGACAGACACACAGACATACGGACAGAATTGCAAAGCCCAGTTTTTCAGACTGGATTACGCATAAAACCTCTTAATTTTAATAAATCTGGATTGATAATTTTTGCCCGATTAAAATAAGTCCTCTATACTTCGAATGTGAAGAAGGACTGAGGTGTAATACGGTGAAAATTGTTAAATTTCAAGTGATTTTTGTGCACGATTACAATACTTTCTCTATACTTCGTATATACGAGAAAGTAAAAATCCATTTCCATTTCCTGTTCCATTTCCGGGTCCGCTTTTCCTTTTGCTTTTGCGTTTGCTTTTGATTTTGCTTTTGCTTCTACTTCTACTTCTTCTACTTCTACTTCTACTACTACTTCTACTTCTACTTAATATATGATTATAATTATATTTATGCTTAACATTGTTAAAAAATGGAATCACGGTATCGTCCGCAGCCATCATTACCATGACGACGGTAAAAGAAAGTAGGTCAGTCGATAGGATATTTTATAGCTATAAATTAGCTATAATTTTGAAATAGTATATGAATGCAACTCGGTATATAATAATTAAATGTCAATTTTTTAATCAGATTATACCAGACAGTCTGGTCTTAAACAAGCTTGTGGTGGAACTGCTTCTCCCCTTAAGCTCAACTTTCTAAAATGTATATTTTATCGGGAAAAGCTGTTTTGGTATAAACACAGTGCAAATACAGGGATAATAACATATAACATAGTGCCTCTTACTTTTCATCGAAAAATAAAATTAGTTAAAGGAAATATACAATTAAACAAAGTCTTTAACGCACGATATTGTAGGTAAGAATTGTTCTAAATGCCAACTATTGTAAAACGAAATAGTCGACTCCAGATAATCTAACTCTTCAGTGTCATCGTTAAATAATAATGTAAGAGATAGAAGTATCATATTTATTACATTTTATCCCCAGGTTTTGTCATTAGAAACACATATCAAGGACAAAAGCACTCAGGAAATTAAGAAGCGTTTGACTTGACAAAAATAAACTCTATTGTCATCGCTGTCTTGCTGTATGGATGCGAGGCATGGACCCCCACGCATACCTCGGAAGAAGTATCTAGGCCCTGGTAATGAGATGTCCTAGGTATCTGATTCAGAGACGACATAATTAATGAAAAATTTCGCAAAAAGATCACTACTGCGATGAATCCTATTGAGAGATTAATGAGCTTAGTGAAAACAAGAAAGAGAACTGACGGGCTCGTTCAAACAATAATGCCAGGCACTGTGCCAAGAGAACGAAGTGGGGGAAACCAAAGAAAGTCATTTGATGCAGAGCTACATCGAGCATCAGAAGACTGAGACAGATGTCGCAAAGTTATACAACAATACTTAATTTTTACTAGTATTACACTGTAGTTACTTTTTGTTGTTGGTTGATGTGTAGTCGTTTATCGTAACGTTGGTATACTTGTGTTTGTGTGGAGGAGTAGATGTAGCAAATACCAGACAACTATACTTAATTTTCAGTAGTATTACACTGTAGTTACTTTTTGTTGTTGGTTGATGTGTAGTCGTTTATCGTAACGTTGGTATACTTGTGTTTGTGTGGAGGAGTAGATGTAGCAAATACCAGACAACTTCTAACACGCTGTGTTTCTATTTGGTTGTCCTATCTTTTGAATTACATTTTACTCATGTCAGGGAGGGGCATTAAGAGGCGAATGAGATTAAATTTCTTGCCCCCTAAATGAGGGGTTAAGTTTTCTTAGTTACGTGCGTTTCATTTTCGGCCGAGGGTTCATAGATAAATTGTCTGTGTGGTGGTAATGGCCTACTTTTGTTGGGTATACAAAATTGGCTTCTTTTCTTCTTTTTTTTAAAAGACATCTGCTTGATGTAAATGATTT